GACAACGGTTATGGTCAATTCGTTAGCACAGGAGATCACGAGGATAGCCGTGAGAGCAGACAGGGCAAAAGAGTCAATGGGAAGGACCATGGCAATGGTTTCCCCGGCGGCAGTGCCAGTGTTCACGGTGACGGTGATGACGGTGCTGATGTAGGCAGAGGGCAATACGAGGCTGGAACTCGAGGGGACGGAGGGGGTTATCAAGATGTCGAAGGCGCCGGAGGCTCACACGACACGGGTAAGTGGAAACTTCTGGCGTAATTGGCGGGGGGTGTTGAATATAATATGTAAGAAAGATAATGGGGACAAAGTACATTCCACGTGGTATGCAGGATAGGTAACAGATTGTTTTAACCTTTTCAAAACAAAATGTTTGCCCCATTACTCTTTTCTGTTGACCGTAACACTATTGCGTAAAAGAAAAGGAAGTAGGTCTCCTTCGATAAAAAAAAAAGAATTTAATTGTGCTATGAACTAACTATACAAATTCCTAAATGTCCTAGAATTGAGGGTTTAGTTGTTTGTTTTTTTGTTTTTTTTTACTTTTATGAAGTGACAGATAAAGCAGACAAGGCACAGAGTATTGACTTTAAAAGTCTGAAAGCTTCTGGTAACGGACTTGATCAGCAGAAGTTTGAGGTCTCGACAGCCTTCCGGGAAAACGTTCTCTCCGACTTTGGTAAGCTGACGGGGTGCCAAAAGTTCTACGTCACTGCGTCAATTTGTATGTATTAATGCATAGATTAAGTGTCCCTTTTAAAGCAAAAAGACTATGTTCGATGGTATAAAATGATAATCACTTACTTACTTAGCTTATCAGGACGTTCATTGCCTTTGACTCCTGCATGACCAGGGCTATTATCCTTACAATTCTTGTGAGTCTGCTGCTTTGTATTGCCTCTCACCATACATCATGTGTATCTTCCCTTTTTCGAGGGTATTCATCGAGTCGGTGACGACGATGGCAGACTGATATTCCGTCGTCTTAATCCAATCAAGGGCTACTGTGATGGCTTTCATCTCCATGCATATGCTGGACGTGGTTATACTAGTGGTGCCTGACAGCTCTCTCAGTATGACCCCTTTTAAAAGGGCGCTGAAAGCCCATCCAGATTAGAAACCACGCTGTACTGATCCATCTGTGAAGATGACTAGGTCGCCCTGTTCACTGTTCTCCTCTATCAGCGTCTCTTCCTCTGCATTGGCTGCTCCCTCTGGCCACGCACGACATTCTCTGCCTAAGGTTATTATCACTCGCGTATACAGACCAGGTGTGTCATTGACGCTGACCCATGAGCTGCCCCTTCGGATCTCTTGCACTTCACAGCATTTAGTCAAAGTTGTCATCCATCCATTCAGCCCCTCTAAGCAGACGCGTGTGTACAGTTCTTCCCACTTTGTCATGCAGTGGGTGCTGATCACCGGCGCAGGCTCTAAAATACTCTTTCAGCTGAGCAATCTTGTGACGTTCTACCTTGGCTGGGAGGTCAAGGAGATAATGCATAGCCTTGCAGGATGTGTCTCGTGTGCACCCGAGAACAGTCAGCGATCTTTCGTTCTGAATTCTTTCAAGGTGGTTCAGCTGCAACGTTGACAAAGTGAGGAGACCGAGGCCATAGTCTGTCACAGACAGCACAAGAGTCTGGTATAGTAAGGCTAAAATTCTCTGTGGCATTCTGCTACACGCCATGGTTTTCAGTGCTGTCAGTATAAAATCACGCTGGTGAAGAGTAATGAATCATGTTTTACGAGGGCTGCCTGCACTGTATGTGGCGTCGGTGGCCTAGTGGTTAGGCTATCCGACTCGCAACCGCAAGGTCGTGGGTTCGAATTCCGTCAGGGACCCGACGTTGTGTCCTTGGGAAAGGCACTTTACACGAATTTTCCTCACTTCACCCAGGTGGGAATGGGTACCTGGCTATAGACAGTGAAAGATCTTGTCAGTTTGTTATTGTTTGAGCGCTTAATCAGCTGCTTGCACTGTATGCTTCCCGGGAAGCTGAGAATGTTTCGGAGTGTTCTAAGGTATGCTGGGGTAATAATATAGTGTAAAGCGCATAGAGCCTGCTGTTGAGCGGGGATATGCGCTATACAAACGCTATTTATTTATTTATTTTATTTGTATGTAGCCCTACACGATATCAACAGAGCTGTGCGCCGGTGGTAAAAAGAAAATGCGATAAAATACAAAGACATAATACACTGGAACCAATGTTATTACCCTCATGCTTATGTGTTTTGTTTCTTGTTACTGTAGATGACGGAGGTACTTTTGGCCAATGTCGTTCTTGCGCTCAAGGTGAGTTGCTGCTCCTCTTGTTAGATGTAGGTTTTGTTCGGTGTTCATTGATGGAGAGACATATTTAAACTACTCTGTTTGGATGTACGATCAAGCATATTACCCCTATCCGTTCGCCCTGAGGTCATGTTGTACCCCCAGGGTTGTATTCTTCACAGTTTAGAATACTTCTAGTAGGAAGATCTCTTTGAAACTTTCAGTATTGCTCAAAACATCATTTTGACCGACTGCTATGCAAAGCGTACGGATCAGATTAACGAGTAAATTTCCTCTTTGGAAAGCGGTGGCACATAGTTCCCCACGCTGTATGGATGCGATAGTAAAAACACGACTTACGGAAAGGGTTAAATTTTAAAAAATACACTGCATGACAATTCGAATCGAATTGAGTAGAAATGAATTGTCGCTTGAAAATTTCCTTCCAAGAAATGTCTATTGATGTAAAAATATTACCCCAGATGAAGGAGCCAAGCTAAAGGCAGTGACTATACTTTGCAGAGCATCGTTAGTTTCCTGGCCTGACACAAGCCACGAAACATGCATACCTGCTGGGCCAGAAATCTTTTTAGGGTGACAACAATCCAAATGATTACTACACTCTTGTAATCTTTGATACACTACAAGACTCGTGTAATGAAGCTCTACGACTTATGAAGGCGTACGTCCACAATTTTGGCATAACAGGCTTCATTACTCATAGTTGGCCTCGACTATTTTGAAACGCAAAATGTTATTTATTTTGTTTAGGCAAATGCTTTACGGCGCTCGCAACTGCATAAGGTCACATAAGCGCGCGGGACACATTAATTTTTGTTTTAGTTTAGTAGAAATTAATTTTGATTTTTGCCTAGGTGTTGGCCTAAACACACACATATTGATTTTGGACCCTCAAGGGATCTTTAACTTGCGCAGCTTGCACACGGGACTTCCGAGATTTATTTACCCTTGTTTGAAATGGCTAGATGTTAGATCTTACCTACCCTAAGATCAGGGGTGTGGTTGAAAGACAGAAGTAAAATTTAACCAAGGAGTAGCAGAGGAGGGGGAAAGGGGAGGGGGGGG